ACCTACCTATCCCTTCACTTGTAAGTTACCCCACAAAATAAACCTTCCTTTTAACTACATGGAGTGGCCTTAATAATTTCACCAATATATGTCCATTTCCAAATTGACCCAAAACATGTCCTTAAGAAAGTAACTCTCCTCCCTCTCAGCAGTCTTGTTCTTTTACTTTATGGGCATGGACTATATGAACAAAGGAGTAAGTCTCTGTTGAATTTGGTCTTGGATATTATGTCTTTGTTTGAAAAATCATGTTCTTTTGTGTTTATAATCTCAAGACAGAACAAAGTCTTGAAGAGTCTAACATGTCACTCTGTCACACAAACCTTATCCTTTATTTCTTTTTCATTTTGTTTTCTTTCTTCTTTTTTTAAAAAAGAAAGGATCTTGCAATGTAGTCCAGGCTAGACTGAAACTCATGCCCCTCTTGTTTCAGTCTCCCAAGTGCTGAGATTATAAACATGTGCAACCATAACTTGGAACAATAGTTTTCTTACAAAAAACTAACTCTATCCTCCTGAACACACCTAAAGCTGCTTGTGCCCATTGGTTAGGAGCTTCCACACCACTGCTTCACATCTTATCTTCTGCAGCTTCTTGCTCCAATTCTCTGTCTTGACCAACTGTTACTCTGATATTGCTTTAGAATTTTGTTTTCTTGTGTTGGATCATCCATTCATTTATTCACACAAAAACATTAAGCATCTTCTATGTACAAAGCCTTCCTAGCGCTGCTCAATCCACTGTCTGTGTCAATCCTTGTGATATCAAGACAGAAACTCTGTATTCCAACCTTACTACCCCCCCAAAAAAAACTATCCAATTACATTAATGCCACTCCTGTGACACACTTCTGTACTCCCCATCAATAAACCTAGCAAAATCCTACATAGGGGCTATGGATTTTCCTGTGCTGAGGGTTAATCTTTCTTTTCAAGATCACCATTCACTTTTCTTCTGTGACTGCTTAAATAACTACAACTCATAAGGAACAATTCCATACTAGGTAGCTACTGATGTGTCATAAAATAACCCTAAAACCAAGTAGCTCTGATATCAATCATTACTTATTACTTCATGTTTATTTGTCTTGGCTGAGCTTTATTCTAGGCTGGGTAGTTTGGAGTGCTTTTGCTAAGGTAGATTGGTGTGTTCTCCACATCTCTCATTCCTTCTTGTAATGGGTAGAAGGTGCTATGTTAGACATGTGCTTCTTGTAGAGAAGGTCTAAAGGAGAGAAAGATGTGAGCCGAATTGTACAAATACTTTCTATTGTTGTTTGCTTTGTTTTTGTTTTAAGATTCTGTGTCCCATTCACTAGATTTTATTGTCCTAAGAATTTAACATGGCTAAGTTCAAGAGCAAGGAATCACATTCTACTCATGTGAGAAAGGATTGCAGTTATTTGGCAAAAGGTCTGAGTAAGGAAGAAGAGGAAACTTTTGCTCATGGAAACAGACTTGTGTACTTCTCAACAGCTTCCCCTAGCTCCATTTTTGCTGTTATCATAGGTCTTATGTATATGTTGGCCTGAACCATCTTCAGATTGGCATATCTTTGGACATTATGAAACATGGCTTTCAATGAGTAACTTTCCTTTTAATTTTCACTTAAATTTAGCCTGGTGACCTCACAATAATATTCACATTATTGTCCAATGTAATTGGAATGCTAAGATCTAATATAGGCATATTCTCATTTCTCTCTCCATCTCTCCCTTTCTTCTTCTTTTAATATTGTCCTGGGGTTTGAACTTAGAGCCTTGCCCACACTAGGGAAATCCTTTACAACTGAGTTGCATTACTTAACCCCCAGAATTAGTCTTTTTTTAAGTTTCCCCTTTTGTTGGAAATAGATTTTTCTCACATAATATATCCTTATTATGGTTTCCTGTTGCTGGAAGTTTCTCTGGTCCTGCTTGGCCCTGCGGTAAGAGCTGCTTGATCCCAAGTAAACACATAGAGGCTTATATTATTTACAAACTATATGGCCTATGGGTCAGGCTTCTCACTAGCTAGCTCTTACAACTTAACTCAGCTCATTTCTATTAATCTATGCATTGCCATGTGACTTTGTGGTTTACCAGTACTTATACATCTAGCTCTCCTGGCGGCGGCTCTCAGCGTCTGCCCCATTCTCCTTTCTTCTCCTCTCTCTCCAGTTCAAATGTACCACCTACCCTTATTCTGCCTCACCATTGGTGAAACAGCTTTATTTATCAACCAATCAGAGCAACACATTCACAGCATACAGAATGATATCTCACAGCAGTTCCCCTCCCTCTACTCTTCCCAATTCCTCCCCCACATTCACTTCCATCTGGATCCACTCCTTTACTGTCTCTTACTAGAAAAGAACAGGCTTCTAAGAGGTAACAACCAAATGTGAAAAAATAAAATATATTAAGATGAAGCAAGCCGGGCGGTGGTGGCGCAGGCCTTTAATTCCAGCACTCAGGAGGCAGAGCCAGGTGGATCTCTGTGAGCTCGAGGCCAGCCTGGACTACCCAAGTGAGTTCCAGGAAAAGCGCAAAGCTACATAGAGAAACCCTGTCTCGAAAAACCAAAAAAAAAAAAAAAAAAAAAGATGAAGCAAAAACCATCATATTGAAGTCACATAAAGCAAACAAAGGAAAAGAGCCCAAGGGAAGGCATGAGAATCAGAGACCCATTCATTCACACACTCAGGAATCCCATAAAATTACAGTAAACTGGAAGCCATAACATATACCTGGTACAGACCCCTGCAGGCCCTGTGCATGCTGTTTCAGTCTCTGTGAGTGCATGAGGGATTTTATCATATTGATTTAGAGGGTCTTGATTTCTTAGTGTCCTCCATTCCCTCTTGCTTTTATACTTTTTCCTCCTCCTCTTCTGCAGGGTTCCATGAGAGAAAGGGTTTGATGGGAACAATCCTGTTTAAGACTGAGTGTTTCAGATCTCCCTTCTCTGCATATTGTCCAGTTGTAGATCTCTATATTTCTTCCCATCTGCTGTGTAAGAAGCTTCTTTGATGCTGGTTGAGCAAGGCACTGATCTATGAGTATAGCAGAATTTCATTAGGAATGATTTTTATTGCTGCATTTTTTTTTCTATTTTTAGAACAGTAGTATTTGGTTTTACCCTAGGTCCCTGGGCTATATAGTCTTAGGTTCTCAGTCACTCAAGCAGTGTCAGATATGGGTTCCTTCTCATGAAGTAAGTCTTAAGTCAAATTAGGTATTGATTGGTTATTCCCACAAACTTTGTGCCACCATTTCATTAGCATATCTTGTAGGCAGGAGAGCATTGTGTATCAAAGAGTTTGTGGCTGGGTTGCTGTTTACATTTCTCTTTTGATAGTATGCAGAATACCTTCCTGTACTAAAAATACTAGCAGGTAAGTTTGAAGGTTCTATGTACACGCTAGCTTGACTTCTCCATGTTCAATGAGTTGTGTAGGTGTTGTCTTCAGTAATGAAGCCTTGCTATCAGTTTGTAGAGATCAACCTATTGTCTTGGCAATAGACTGCATTGTTTGGAGATTCCCATGAGACCCTTTTGGCCAACAAGTCAATTAGATGTAACCCAGATACAGTACTGGAAGCTTCATTTGGTGACAAGAGATGGTCAGTTGGGACTCTGTCTCCCCCATTATTTGGTGATTTCATTTAGATCACCTTCCTGTATGTATATATATTTAGGAAGCTTCTCCTATATTATCATACAACCACTCAAATGGCCCTTAATTTTGGCTGTTTCTCCCCATATTCTTTCCCTAGTTCCCCTTCTCCTTTTCCCCTATCCACTTGATTCTCTTGTTCCAATAATCTCCTCCATCCATCTATAACTTTTCTATTTCCCCTTTCTATGTAAATATATCTGGCCCCCCAACCCCACCCCACTCCCTCACTCTGTACCTAACCTCTGTGGTTCCACAGATTGATGCTTAGTTCTGATTGACCTAACAGCTATTGTCTCTCTGGATGTGGATTACATCACTCAGGATAATTTTTTTTTCTAGTTCCATACATTTACCTGCAAATTTCATGATATCATATTTTTAACAGTTGAGTAATACTCCATTGTGTAAATGTACCACATTTTCTTTATCCATTCTTCTGTTGAGAAACATCTAGGTTGTTTCCAATTTCTGGCTATTATTAATAGAGCAGCAGTCAACATGTTTGAACAAGTTTCTTTGTGGTATGATGAATCATCCTTTGGGTACAGCTGAATCTTTGTTTTTTTTGAGACAGGTTTCTCTGTGTAGCTTTGTGCCTTTCCTGTAACTCACTCTGTAGCCCAGGCTGGCCTCAAACTCACAGAGATCCGCCTGCCTCTGCCTCCCAAGTGCTGGGATTAAAGGCATGTGCCACCACTGCCCAGCGTGGGTATAGCTGAATCTTGAGGTAGATTAATTCCCATCTTTCTGAGGAACTGCCACACTGATTTTAATAGTGGCTGTACAAGTTTGCACTCCCACAAGCAGTGAATGAGTGTTCCCCTTATTCCACACCCTCTTCAGCAGGAGCTGTCACTTGTTTTATTGTTTCTAGTCATTCTGACTTCTGTACGATGAAATCTCAAAATACTTTGATTTCAGGCATAGTCAAGACATGCGAAGTTGCTTCTGGACTAGAGAATATTTATGGAAATATTATTAGAGAATCAGTGGTGGATAATCTATTTTGAGTTTTAAAAATCAGTTAGTTCTGTTCGATTAATAAATGATAAGTGTACAAGTCTATGTCTTTGAGTCAGCTTTGAGAATGTGAACATGCTCAGGGAACATGAGGAAATACACAAATTTAAAAGATGGGATTAATTTGAAAGGTGATATACACGTTTTCGTTGGGTAGTGATAAAAGAAGTGGTATTTATTAGAGGATGTACACAGTTGACATGAACTGGAAATATTAACATTGTCTATTTCAAGCTGATTCAAACAAGTTAGCAGCACTAACTATCCTGATAAATTGGCCTGAATTTTTTTGTTTTGTTGCATTTTTGTTTTTAATGCAGGTCAGAGAGCAGTAACACTAAGCTTGACATCAGGCCAATGTATTATGTGTTGTGATGAAAAGATTGGTCAACTGAAAGTTCAGAATCCTCAATTATTGATCTAGGTGAGCCACCACTTTGGCTGTATGTATTTGGATAATTCTTATAACCTCTCTGAGTCTAAGCTTTTTCTCCTATAAAACATAAGCTGTTATAAAAAACTTTTAAGGCTTTGTCATGCAGTACAATTCTATGATCCAAAGAAACAATTATTTAACAATGTTAATCCTTCTCTGTTGGTTCTAACCATATCACAGTTGCTAAAAGCAAATGCAGGGTTCTACCAGTACTTGAATAAAAACCAGATAATTACTTACCTTCTGCTACTAATTATGTATAATGACATAAGCTATACCATAGATTCAGTGCATTCTTAATCTAGTTATTGTCTTAAAGTTAGGGAAGAATATGTGGCTATTACAATGTAATTTTTTTTATTATTTTTAAGTGCTAGGGATTGATCCCAAGGACTAGTACATGCTAGACAAGCACTCTACCACTGAGCCAGCAAATTCATTTTAAATACTAGAAAAACAGCTGAAATGCATGAGTTAGTGATAATGGGTTTGTGTTATCATGCTTATATGTAGATAATCCATTTTCCCATTCAGCAAATGTATACTGTAAATGATATAATGAAGGCCTTGCTAATGATTGGTGACTGGGGTGTCTTTCATTACCTCAAGAACTGATTTTTAAGCAATCAATGATAGCTTATTTTTGAGATCCCTAGTGTTCTTATTTTAGTTACAAACCGAAAAGAATTGTAAAGATATTGTAATTGATTTGCTGGCAAGTTTACAGCCTGTACAAGTGATTTATTGAGTTTCCATGGCTCCCCGTGAATTTCAGCAGCTAGAGTTATCCACTTAGGATTTCCCAGTACATTAGCTTGGTGGTATGATAGGCTGTCTTCACATGTAGGTTGTATCTTCCATCTACTTCTCTGTGTCATTAATAAGTTAGCTATTTTTTGACTGTAATTATTGCTACTTGGGCTCTTAGAATACACACACTTCACTCAACAGTTTGGTGGAGCTCTAGTATCAGAAGACAAGTCCTTGAACACCTGAGAGTAAACAGCAATTATGAGTAAAAGATTTCCCACATTATCCTAGAAATAAGGGAAATAATGTCAAAGTACTTTGTAAATTTCAAAACTGCTACTAGAAACACATCACAATTATCTTGTTTTTACTTTTCATCTTTTTTTGTAGTTCAGAATGGTAAAGATAAAAATAATCTACATTTGTCCACAAATCTGATGTCCCTAAATGCCATATTGAAAACCACAAAGTCACAGAATTTATTTACTACTTGGGTCACATTATCCTGCTCTTTCCAAATTTGTTCTTTGTATATGTGTATCTGTATATGTTTTCTTGAGACAAAAATGCCACTGTCTTCTGATTTTAATTAATAAATTAAATTTAATTAATAAAATATCACTTTATTCAAATACATTTATTTTTTTGAATTTTAAAAGAACAAGAGGTAGTTTTGTGGAAATACTCATCGAATTCAGTCCCCTTAGAAGAGCCTAGTGTTAGCATGACCCCATTGCCCAAGTTCAGCTCTCAAAAAATGTTTAATGTTTTGGTTTTTGTTAAAATCTTTCATCTTCTCTCTATAAAACTCTGCTCTGAAATCATTTCTGGTTTTTGATGTTCCCCCTAACATTTTTACGGAAACATTGTATGAGAGAAGCATGAGACAGGTACCCAATTTCTTTTAATTTTTCTGTCAAGCAAATCTATGTTAAAGAAAATCTCCATCTGTGTCTGAAACTGTCAGTGGTTCTATTGCAACATGAACAAAATTAGCATTCTAATTTATGCACATCTTACCTCAGATCTCAGTTTAAATTTTAGGCTAGAAAAGCACTTTGCTGTAGGGGACTTTCCTGAGCACTGTAGGACTGCACTGAGCAGTTTCATCATCTCCAACTTTAAACAATCCAAAATGGTCTCAAATGTTCCTGGAGGGCAACATTGCCCCTAACTGAGAACCACTAACTTAGAGAGATCATTGAGACAATTCCACAACTTAGTGGGTTTTTTTTTTGTGTGTGTGTGTGTGTGTGTGTGTGTGTGTGTGTGTGAAAGCTTTTCTCATATTAGTCCACAATGTGTGATCATTCTCTGTTACAAAGACTCCAAGAGCTGTGTTATGCCTGCAGCAAACTGTTCTCCTGCAGAGGAGACCACCAATTCCACAGGCTTACCATGTGCTATTTATGCCACTAAGTGCTATTCATTTGTTAGTGTATTGAAGTCTTTGTTTCATGTATGAGGAAACCCAGGTAGCAAATTGAATTTCCTAAGAACCTTTAATCCAAATTTTGGATAAAGCAAATGCTCTCAGCTTTTTAAATGCCTAAAATGTGTTTACAGTCTAAGTTATGCTCACTCCATGGTTTTGAGCGTCTCATTTCATTTCCATGTTCCTTAATTTTGTCAATAGTTTTCATTATTACTTGTATTGGGTATAGTTTAAATAAAACAATTATTTTTCTTTGGCTTAGTACTCCACTTGAAATATCCTTCAAAAGAAATTTTGGATTTCCATGTAGCCTGTGAACCTACTAGTGTTCTTTATCTCCCACCTCCTGAACACTGGGACATGTGGGACCCATAGACACTCAATAAATTCTTACCAATTGACTGGTTAAACAATAATATGTTTATTACCACAGATATTCCAAGTATTTCCCCAAAGTATGTCAATAATCTCTGCCATATTAGCAGTTCATGATGCACTATGAATATCTTTTGGTATATTCTAGGAGCTTATTTATCTAAATTAGAAGGTCCCATTGGCATTTCCTTTTCTTAAGTTTTAAGTTATCAACAGTAGCTACCCATTACTTAGGTTCAGTAGACATTAACTTCGAAATGGGAGGCAACTTGCAGACAAAAGGTAAATGGATAAGTCAGCCATCAATCCAGTTACATAAATGTTGAATTTAGCTCCATAAAAGTTTACTTTATCTTGAATCTTTCTGCCCTAATTTCTTCAGGATGCTGTATGTGGTTCTTCATCTTCTGAATGTTTATATATATGACTCAATGCAAATGAGATGTCCTCATGTCACCAGAGTAACAAATGGCTGGTAATAGAGAGGTAAGCAAAGGCCAGCAGTATTGGTTACTATTTATTAATAATTGATAAATACAATTGTTTCTCTTCTATGGGAGATGAATAATCAGGTTACTCCAAGGTAATAGTGAGAAGAATAAATATTAGGAAGAGAGAAATGGGGATACAAGAGTGACTTAGGCAGGAAATGAGTTTAGCTGCAATGACATGCACGTTTGATAGTGCCTGCACAGCATGTGCCTGGCATGGGGCCTAGAGAGGAAAAACATTTTGACCACATTTCTTTGAAGGCAAATAAGGAGCATTAGATTGCATTGGTGAAGTCAGACCTGTAATTCATCTCCTCAGAGGGCCTAATGTGTGTGTGTGCTTTCTGGTTAGGGTTGCATCTGGGTCTCAGTGGACTGGTTTTATATTGATTATCAAGTGTTATTTTCTGTCTAATGAAGGTGCTTTTCAGAACTGCATTAATTCTGTATTTCCAGATTTGTGCAATATTCATCATGAAGAACTAAGAGCATTTTGTTCCCAAATCAATTAATGTTGTCCCTTGACAATCCTAAGATGGTGCTTACTTTTCCTGTACAGTATTTAGGGTCAAGAAAATGAAAATTATTTCCTGTCTTAAACTGATGATTATAGGAAAGAGCAAAGCTACATCTTGTTTCTAGTATCTCTTCTTTGAGAGAATACATCAATAAACAGATTCTATAAGCCCAAACACTAGAATTAAGAACAGCCGTGTCTTTGTGTAAGAAGATGCTAACAGGCACAAATTTATATTGAAAGCAGCTGTTTGTCAAGACATATTTTCAATCACGCAAATTGTTGTTTAAAATACTTACAACATTATATGCTAGTCAAAAGATCTCTTCACATGGCCTAAGAAGTCAGCTCTGAAAAATAAAGCCATAGTTGGTGGAAGCAAGAAATGTTAATGTTAAATGCAAATGCCAAGATTGATCTACAGGACAATCAAGAGCTGAAGATTATAGTCATCTAAAATGTTCTTCTGTGTAAACTGGGGAAAACTGAAGAGAGAGAATACAGAATGCTAACACCTAGAGGAAGACAGGCCTGATTACATAAGAATTATCTTTTCTTTGTCTGAAATTGAGATAGAACTTATATATGTTTAGCTTCTGATGTTCCAGGGACTCACAATGTTTACTACAGTGTTTTTAAATTAATTAATGTTGCCTTTCCTTGTTTAATAGTTTTAATTGAGAAACTTTGTTTTTAGTAACTAATAGATACATAATATCTCTATCGATTTAACTTTTAGGAAGGGATTGAGAGTTAGTCTGTGGGACTGTAAATCAGAACTGCTTTAAGGTAAATTTCCAAAGGAGTGTTTTCAACACACTGTGATTCTCAAGTGTGAATAAGTGATGATCCAGAAACATGGTAGATGAAGACAAAATACATTTCTATAGATGAAAGCAATGAAAAAATGATGCTTGAAGTTGCTCATATTGTGCCTTGGGAGCATTATAAGAAACAGGGACAGGTAGCATTTTGGGAATACTTTACTGTTTACATTAATTCCCCAGGTATTATGTAGAATTCATTGTTGCTATACATTCCCTCCTGCAGTTCCTCTTTCTCATTAGTGTTTGGCAGGCGTCTGCTAACTAGAATGGAAAATCATGAAGGCTGTTGTCAGTATCCTCTGATTCTCATTTTCTTCCTTATGAGACATTTTCTCATCCTGCAAATTATATGATTAGGGTTTTTTTTTATCTAATTTTTCCCTTCTCCCCTCAACCCGTCCTTCAAAAGAATAAAGAAAAAGTGTTAGCAATACAAAAAGCAGACTCATACGAATATGGCACAGGGGTCACACTAGGTTGGTGTTTACACAGTGTCTGAGAGATGTCATCTTTTCCCAACCAGAGGGACAGTGTCGAAAGTAAGCTTGGATGGCACTGGGGGCTTCCTGTCCAAACCTTCCACAACTCTACAAAGATACAGAGAACTATAGCATCTCGAGGTTCTAAAGCTCCAGATACCTAATTCCTAAGCCCAGGCTCCTGTCTTCAAATAGTTCAATGGAGAAGTTGCCATCTCCCACTTGCTCAAAAAGAAACAAGCAATGTGTGAAGGGTTCTTTTCATTACTGCAATCAGACCGAGGGCAGGTGGTCTAGAATGTGCTCCCCAGTGAATAATGGACAGATTAGGAAACCCTGATCTTCACTGGAGTCTGACCTTGACCTTGTGAGTTTTCTCTTTCCTTGTGGATAATTCTACCTTAGATTCTATGACTTCAGAAATTTACCGTAATGCATTCTACACAAGCAGCAATCCTAAGGAGAATTACCTGGTTCAATACTCTTCTTATTTACTCTTCATTCACCTATAGTTATGAATCCATTGCAGTATCATGTTTGAAGTTCCATTTCTGTGGAGAATGGAAGATATGTTTGCATTTGAGAGATATTTTAGTATCAAGTAACATATGGAAGGACAGAATTTCAAACTTTTATTAGGAAAAACTTTCTGGGTTTTCTATACTCAGATTAGGTAAGTGGTTATTTACTGTGTGAGATTGACCCTGTAGAGGCATTATTTGGCATTAAGAAATAGAAAAATGTATATTAGATAGAATAAATTTCCTTAAAGGAACTTTATTTAGCACATGAAATAAAAACAAAGTGATCTCTCTGTCTTGTCCCTGGAAAAAATTCATTCTTACAAGTATTAGATAAGCATTTATTTATTCCATTATTCCTCACTTCATTCCTTGCATATACATCTTCTCTGGGATTAAAGCTTCATGAGAACAGCATGTCCTTTGGACTTTTTCACAAAGGTATATTCACTGATCAGAACAAAGCTGGAATACAGCATGTACTTAACTAAAAGCCTTTAAATAAATTAATAAGCATGTGCCATGTGCCACTAAGGATGCAAAAACAGACCAGATTCACAGAAGCCCAGGTTTCTGGCTTAACAAATTTTGAAGCACAGTATGGAAGAGGGGAAAGAATTCCAGCAAAGCATAATTATTATAACCAAGGAAAACCTCCATGAAGCCCTGGGTTTGATGTTCAGCATTACATAAACCAGCACTTGAGAGGTGAAGGCACAAGGACCGGGAGTTTAAGAACATCCTTGGCTCCATGGCAAGCTCGAGCCCACACTGGGATACATGAGACTCTGTCTCACAAACAAAACAAAACAACAACAACAACAAAATAAAACAAAACCCCACAATACATTGGATAGTAATGGTGAATATACATCAAAACTTACCAAATTCTGTACACTAATTGTTTGCAGTAATTATACCTATTAAAGTTTGAGGAATAAGATGCTGGAGAAATATTTTAGAATAAGGAAAATGTCGAAAACTCACTCTGTGAACAGTGAATCCCTTTTACGTCTTTCAAGAAAACAAGCATTTGGTAATAATATACAAACCACTCCTCTAAAGATTTCTTTAAAAAATCCTCAAGGAAAATCAAAAAAGAAAAATTTATCTGTGTTTAAAAAAATAAATATTAGCTTTAGTTTAAAAACCGACAGTCCTCTGCCCTTACTAAAATGTGACACTTTCCAAATGGCTAGCATATGAAAGTAAATGATTCCTTCATGTCAATAGATTGCTTGGTTTAGCAGCAATATGGCTAAATGTTTTCTATAAAGCCCACAACTCTGGTAGTTCTGGTTTTGAAATATTTGCACTATCACTGGGTGCTGCTGCCTGGTAATCAGCTTTAAAGATAACATGACATCGTTAATAATGAAAGTATTTGAAACAGAACTCAGGCAAGGCTATTTACAGAACTGCCTGACTGGTGTGAATCTGCACAGACCTATTTCTGAACTTTTGTTTGCAATTCACAGTAATTTACAGAGTAAATGGCTCAGAAATTTGCCAAGGGAAGCAACAGCCTGCATAAATTTCAGGGGGCTAAATGGAATTTTTCCTCTTTGACATGGGAAATTGGCATACAAGAACTGACAGACTGAATTTTTACATTCTTGCATAAATCCAATGTAATTTTCTGTATGTTTTGAATGGAGTCACTGGAAATGGGTGAAAATGCGAAGAGGTATACTATATGCTAAATGTATTTACCCTTCAGTAGATACTATGTAATAGATAAGACTTAAGACACTTGAAATAGTGAATTAATTTCTGTGACTATCATATATCTTTTATATGGCAGAAAGAACACTAAGTATTTTAGTTTGCAATAAAATAATAAAAGGTATACTTATTGCAGACTTAGTGCAACCCAAGTGCTGTGCAAAACACATTGATCACATTATTTCACTTCATCTGGACTTCAGTTCTATTCTCCTTACCAGCTATTTTAGCATTAAACAAATCATTAGATAGCTCTGAAATTTTATTTCCTCATCTCTATAGTAAAATCTTTAATAAGTGTCTTGCTTTTTTGTTCACTCATTTATGCGTTCTATAAAGATTTATGCTGTGCTATTAAGTATCTGTAGTTGCTCTAGGTGCATTATTCAACAGTGAATAAGATATCATCCTTGGTCCAGTAGAGCTTAGTTTTCTAAATGAAATGTGTGTATACACTGTTAATAAAGAAACAGTTAATAAAAGAAGAGGACATGAGGTTGTGGTGGGTAGAAGGGCAGATCAGGGGGGAGTTGAAGGGAGGTAATGGTGGATATAAATGATCAAAATACATTGTTTAAATGTATTGGACATCCAAAGAATAACTCAAAATACATTTTATGTTGACACATAGAAGCATATTGCTATTAGATCAACAGGGATATTGACAAGAAAGGTACTGGAAAAGTGATCCAAGGTTAGAAGACTACTCTGTTTTAAACTGGAAAATGCCCTTAATATAAGGAAATCAACAAATTCCAATGGCTCAACTGTCACAATAAATATGTTGAAGTTAATGTTTTAGATTAAGTTCTGAAGGGGTGTTTAATATTTTATTAACTGAAATTACCAAGCATTACTGGGATGTTGCACATTAAAATATGATATGGGGACAATATTAACATGGCTGTTTTCCTTTACAAAGTGTG